TGTAGTCTGTTTTTTTCCCTCCTCTAAAATTTGGCATTGGTGGGACTAAACTAGGGCTGTCAATTTAACTTTTTAATTTGAGTTACCTAGTGTGGCAAGTGTAGTCCAATTTCTGAACAAATTAATCTTGTGAGACTTGTTTTTTTTAACAAAAGAATGCATACCAGGGCTGTACAGTGCGACATATATGTCGCACGTGCTACGAAAAAACTGGTCTGTGCGATGAATACATTTACCACTGCAGCACGCGTGCGATACAGTTTTGCGTGTTCATAACACAGCCGCTTAATAGTGTGAAGTGATTTCGTTGTGCTTGTTTGTGTGTGTGAGATTGGGACGATTAAAATGTCTCCACGATCTGCTTTTGAAGAAATATCGTTGTTTCGTGCTACAGCGCACATTCTATCAGCTGCAGTTCTGGCGCCTCCCTCCGTCTCAATATAATGTACAACGCCACATGCACTCATATCAGTGTTAGCTCAGCGGTAGAGTTACTCTTATGGGACACTGCACTTGTGCGCGATCACAAAACTACATTATTTCCATCTGCTTTAAAGCAATACCGGTTAAACATTTAATTCACGTGCTGTTCTGCATGCGCTTTTTCTGAGCGTGTACTCAAGAAGCGCACTCACACTGAGAGCCTGTCAAAAAGCGCCTGATTATTGGACTAAGTTGTCTTTCGCGTCTGATTGATTTCGCGTCTAATACTGTCAAAAACACACAAGGATTACATATAAACACAGTTGGTTATGTCTGAAATGAAAGTAAACGCGAGAAACGCGTGAAGCTCTTAAAGGGACAGTAGCTACTAAACATGCTGCCGCCTGTCATTAAAGGGATAGTTCACCCAAAAAATTTAATTTCTGTCATTATTTACTCACTCACATTTTGTCCCAAACCTGTATTAATTTATTTCTTGTGCTGAACACAAAAGAAGATATTTTGAAGAATGTGAGTAAACAAACAGTAGCTGGTCCACACTGACTTTTACAGTAGGAAAAAATACCATGGAAGTTACTGTGGACCAGCAACTGCTTGGTTACCCACATTCTTCAAAAATAACTTTTATGTTCAACAGACGAAATAAACTAATTCAGGTTTAAAACAACTTGAGTAAATGATGGTATAAAAATGAAACACTATG